TATTGGCACAATAGCCTCAAGGGTATATTTTCTTTATAAAGAACTACGTATTCATATATGAAAGAACTGCACGATCCAGTCTAAGGGTATGTCTTCACTACCGGCCGGATCGGCGGGCAGCTATCAATCCAGCAGGGATCGATTTATCGCATCTAGTCTAGACACGATAAATCGATCCCCGAGCACTCTCCCGTCAACTCCTGCACTCCAGCTCGGCGAGAGGCGCAGGCGGAGTCGATGGGGGAGCGGCAGCAGTCGACTCACCGTGATGAAGACACCATGGTAAGTCGATCTAAGTACGTCGACTTCAGCTACATAATTCACAAAGCTGAAGTTGCGTAACTTAGATCGATCCCCCACCCGCCCCCCCCAGTGTAGACCAGGCCTAAGTTAAAGCACATAGAAAATGGTGACTTTGGATCCAACTCTGTCCTCGGGTACATCAGTATTACTCTTGTGGAAGTCAATGGAAATTGTGTATGGATGCCTGGGTCCTTTTATCTCCCCAATAACTGGCCACATGTTATCAGGTGCTTATACAGTTTGCCGTCCTGTGTAATAGAGGCTGAAGAATTTCACCCATCCATTGCTGCATCAAGGTGTTAACTTGTGGTTGAGTTAGAGCATCTCATTTAGAAAGACGTCAAATCCCATATAAAGACTTCAGGGCCGCAATTTTTAAAGGTATTTAGGTGTAGCTGCACTCAGCATTACGACCCCTGACTGCTTTCAGAACCTAAATCTTATTTTTAAAAGAGATTTAGGCACTTATGAGCCTCATAAGTGCCTAAATCTCTTTTGAAAATGAGATTTAGACTCCTAAATCAGTTATATGTTACAATACTGAGCATAGTAATACTTAAATATCTTTAAAAATCTAATCCCAAACTATAGAATCTGCTACATCTCTTGGTAAGTTGTTGCAAAGAACTTAATTACCCTGACTGTTAAAAATGTGTGTCCAATTTATTTCTAGTCTAAATTTACCTGGTTTCAGCTTCTGGCCATTGGATCTTGTCATGCCTTTGTCTGCTAAACTAAAGAGTCATCTACAATCAGAAATCTTCCATAGCAACCTACAGACCATGATCAAGTAATCTCTTAGCCTTCTCTTTGAAAAACTAAATAGACTGAGCTTCCATAAAGCAGCTTGACTGGCTGTAAGATCCTCTGCCTGAGAACCTGAGGACCCTGTGTAATAAAGATTGTTATAGTGTTCTGGTGCCAGCATCCCGGGTCTTCAAACGTAATATATTAGTTACTCTGTATACACTTGAATCTGATCATAACAATGGCCTGATCCAGCTCCCATTAAAGTTAATGGAAAGACTCTGACTGACATCAGTAGGGGGTTTGTTTGTGCCCTTCGTGAATTCACATAGGATGATACTCCATTTTAGTGGACTGAGAGCTTCATTTCAATGCATTTCAGTGGAGGGTCACCTACAGTGAAGCTTTACTCCAGCATAAGAAGGTTCCACTGTGCTAGTCCCCTTGAAGAATATAAGAACGGCCGTACCGGGTCAGACCAAAGGGCCATCCACCCCAGCATCCTGTCTGCCGACGGTGGCCAATGCCAGGTGCCCCAGAGGGAGTGAACCTAACAAGTAATGATCAAGTGATCTCTCTCCTGTCATCCATCTCCACCCTCTGACAAACAGAAGCTAGGGACACTATTCCTTACCCATCCTGGCTAATAGCCA